CGGGTGGATCACGAGGTCAAGAGATCAAAACCATCCTGGTCAACAAGGTGAAACCCCGTGTCTACTAAAAATACAAAAATTAGCTGGGCATGGTGGTGCGCACCTGTAGTCCCAGCTACTCGGGAGGCTGAGGCAGGAGAATTGCTTGAACCCAGAAGGCGGAGGTTGCAGTGAGCCAAGATCATGCCACTGCACTCCAGCCTGGGTAACAATAGCGAAACTCCGTCTCAAAAAAAAAAAATGTAAATAATTTTTGAATACTTGACAATTCACATTATCATCTATTTATATTTTACTAAATTCATCACTCTGGCCAGGCACAGTGGCTCACGCCTGTAATCACAGCACTTTGGGAGGTCAAGGAGGGTGGATCACCTGAGGTCAGGAGTTCAAGACCAGCCTGGCCAACATGGTGAAACCCTGTATCTACTAAAAATATAAAAATTAGCTGGGTGTGGTGGCGGGCACCTGTAATCCTAACTACTGGGGAGGCTGAGGCAGGAGAATCACTTGAACTCAGGAGGCGGAGGATGCAATGAGCCAAGATTGCAACACTGCACTCCAGCCTGGGCAACAAGAGCGAAACTCTGACTCAAAAAAAAGAAAAATAGAGGAGCCAGGTGCAGTGGCTCATGCCAGTAATCCCAGCACTTTGGGAGGCTGAGGCAGGCAGATCATTAGGTCAAGAGATGGAGATGGTCAGGGATTCAAGACCAGCCTGACCAACATGGTGAAACCCCGTCTCTACTTAAAAAGACAAAAATTAGCTGGGCACGGTGGTGCTTCCCTGTAGTCCCAGCTACTAGGAAGGCTGAGGCAGAATCACCTGAACCTGGGAGGCAGAAGTTGCAGTGAGCTGAGATGGTGCCACTGCATTCTAGCCTGAGCAACAGAGTGAGACTGCATCTCAAAAAATAAAAATTTAAAAAATCCTGTTCTAGATGACAGTTTAAGATGTTTAACACTTAAATTCATATATTTCACCAGATTTTGGTTGGTAAGAGCAATTTTTTTCCCATTACTGCTGCCTGGAAGTCAGCAAACCCTTAGCGCTTTACTGTATCTTCAGCTGTTTTTTCCCCTCCTGAAATGCCTCTTAGACATACTGGTTTCCAGCAGTGTCCTTTTACATTGTCTAAAGATTTTTAAAATAAAAAAATATTTTATGTTTTACAATCTTTCTCCACTGGCTTCATCCCTTAAGAATTCTCATTAAAATTCAAATATAGTTCTCTTCTGCTTCTTTCATTAATTCTCCTCCATAGGCACCATCTTTTCTCATTCCCTTGGGCTCTGCTTTGAACCACTGTGATCCTTATTTGCATATATATTTTTGTTATCGAATTACGCATATATATGTTTAAGCATACTTCCTCTGGCAGTTAGGGAGGATCGATAATTTTTTCAATTGGTCTGTTTTCTACTCTGAAGTCTGTGAAAAGCACCGATTTTTTTTTTTTACTATTTGACGCAATAATGTCATGATTAAAAAACGTGGGCTCTGGAACCAGGCTGCTTTACTAGCTGTGTGACCACGGCAAGTTATTTAACCTCTCTGAGTCACGGTTTCCTCATCTGTACAAGGTACATTATTAATAGTACCTTGGGGGCTGGGCACGGTGGCTCAAGCCTGTAATCCCAGCACTTTGGGAGGCCGAGGCGGGTGGATCATGAGGTCAAGAGATCGAGACTATCCTGGTCAACATGGTGAAACCCCGTCTCTACTAAAAACACAAAAAAAAATTAGCTGGGCATGGTGGTGCATGCCTGTAGTCCCAGCTACTTGGGAGGCTGAGGCAGGAGAACTGTTTGAACTCAGGAAGTGGAGGTTGCGGTGAGCCGAGATCGTGCCATTGCACTCTAGCCTGGGTAATAAGAGCAAAACTCCGTCTCAAAAAAAAAAAACAGTACCTTGGTAGAGAAACTGGAGCATAATAATTAGCATTATCTATCTGGTGATTAAACATTTAGGGCAGTTAAAGGTCTCCAGACCAAGGGACAAGGTAAAAATAACAGATCTTAAATCTTCAGAGCTGAAACAATGTCACAAGAAAATCCCAAAGTCTATCCTAATCTCAACTGTAGTGTAACAAGGGCAACTAGGTGAGAGCAAGGATGGGTCATCCTTACTTATGGTAGCCATTGGATACATAGAGCTATTTAAATTAATATTTAGTTCTTTATTTACACTAGCCACATCTCAAGTGTTCATAACCAAACAGTACCTACATTATTGGACAGCTCCACTCTAACCAATGAAAAAAAAAAAACAACAAAGAAAAAGGGGAACTGAACCACAACCTACACTGAATACAAACTGTTCATGTACCTGTGCAACAGGTGGTCTAGATCACAAAGGCAATGACTTGAACAACTTTAATCTTAGACCACAGTCAGAAGACTTCGGTTCAAATCACAGCTATGCTACTCGACCACCTTAAAGTACCCTAGACCTGTCACTAAATCACACAGCACTGTATAATGGTTAAGAGCACACAATCTCTGGTCTATCTGGATTTGAATTCCGGCTATCACTAGCTATGTGACGTTGGGCAAGTTACTTCACATCTCTCATGTGTTCTCTTTGTTTTATAGTAGGGCCTACCTCCTAGTCATGTTGTGGATCAAATTAGTTAGTATTTGCTTGTTTCTTTTTTCCCCCTGCAAACTACACAAAGAATATTTGTAAAAAGCAATTAGAACAATGCCTGGCATCACTAAAATGTTATATAAATATCTGCTACATAAAAATAATGTCTCAAGCTTCTATTTTCTTAAGTCCTAGTGGGCAAGATAAAACTTGCTCTGCCTATTTCACATGTTGTCATGATAATGAATGACGACAGGATGTAAATTACAAGAAAATTTTTTTTTGTTTGTTTGTTTTGTTTTTGAGACGGAGTTTCGCTGTTGTCACCCAGACTGGAGTGCAATGGCGCGATCTCGGCTCACTGCAACCTCCACCTTCTGGGTTCAAGCAATTCTCTTGCCTCAGCCTCCCGAGTGGCTGGGACTACAGGTACGCACCACCATGCCCAGCTAATTTTTGTATTTTTAGTAGAGACGGGGTTTCACCTTGTTGACCAGGATGGTCTCGATCTCTTGACCTCGTGATCCACCATGCCCTGCCGTAAGAAAATGTTTTAAAAGCACAAACGGTTATTAGACTACAAGGAGGCAGAGGTCTTACCGTCCAACTTCTTTAATCTCCCACAATATCAACCAAATTGCTGTGCTAAGTGTTCATTTAATAAATTTAAATTTTTTCACTAAAACTGGAGCATCACACTCTACTCATAAAGGGATAAACCTGACTAAGGTACAGAGTGCTTATTATTTAAGGAAAAGCCTGCTATAAACTCATTCTGACCCAAAGACAGTAGAAACTACCTCAATTTGAGTTCCAAGGAGCAACATGCACAGCCTTGAATCATCATAGGAAATCTCCATTCCCTAACCTCCATCTCTTAAAGAAACACAAATGGGCTCTACAGCTAGTCAAGTTACCTATCCTGTGATACTTTTTTGTGAGAAAGTTTTCTTCAAGTTCACAATTGACAGGTAGTATAAACAGTATAATTTCCCCCAAATATCCTGTCTTTCACCAACTGGAAACAGAATCACAAAAACAAATGGTGAAGTCTCATTAAAAATTCTCATAAAGAACTTTTACTTATTGCAAACCTAATCTACGCTTTTGAAATTTCCAAAAGCGACACCAACACCTGATCTAACTGCTCAAATGAAATCTGTCAAAAAACAGAGCCACCACGTTCCAACATTAGCCAGCACACCCAAAAAGAGCCTCTGCTTTCTGTTGAAATGAACGTCAAAGGCTGTCAGCTGCTACACCTTCCAAGGCAAACTGGAAGCCAAATTCTTTTTAAGAGTTTGATATGGGTGCCAAACCAGAGAAAAGAGAAACAAAAGGAAGCAGATAAGACCACTTTTAGGATTCACTAAAAAATATCACTGCTGGCTGCTGCAACAAATGTTTTGCAGACCTAAGCTCACCAAAAGCCTTATTTATTTTTGGTGGCGGTGGTGGGGGAAGGAAGAGAGTAAGCACAGAAAATTATCAAAAGGTAAGAGAATCTTAAAGTTCATCTAACTCAACACCCTCCTAAGGTAAGGGTTCCAGTACCCCAAAGGTTCTCTTTCCCGGATCATGAGCTACAATACAACCAAAAATAAGGGGTAGGGATGGCGAAGAAACGGGAGAAAGGCGATCTTCTGATAAGGCCTGTCGACGGTTGCAGCGTTTCCCCCAGCTCGCCAACATCCCGCCAGTCCCTCCGCCCCTCTCCCCCCAAACCCCAGCCTCGGCTGAGGCGCGCAAGCGCAGCAAGTAGGGGCTGCGCGTGGCGACGCGCAGGCGTAAAGTGGGTAGAAACAATGAGCTTTGTTACCGAGGCGGTGGTGGGGGGCAGGGGAAAGGGTACCAGGCGGAGGGAGAAAGGACCAGAGGAATGGGGCACAGGAGAAAGTGCTATCCCGGCAACCCTCGCGCCACCGAGGACCCGGATAGAGAGCTGCGAGATCCAAATCATAAATAATGACAATGAAAAAAAAAGCTACGGCCATGTCTCAGAGAAGAGGGAGAGGAAATCTGCCCAAGCCCATCCCTCAGACTTAGTGCAAAGAGACAACGAACAACGGAGGCCGCAAGGGACTCGGCGGCCAACCACCAAGGAAACCCTTTAGGCCCCTCTGCCGTCGCTAAGGTGCTGTCCCTTGACCGCCGCACCCTTGTCGCCACTCCGCCCGAGGGGATCCCTCACCCTGTGCACAGCAGCGGGGATGGCAGCCAATGAATCCTGTCGGCCTCCGCGGATCTCCACAGGCAGCGCCGCTCCCCGCTCGACGTGCACTTAGCCCGCCGCCTCCCTTCTCCAGTCCAAACAAACACCCCAGCGCGGAAGTGACTTCACTTCCGTCGCCGCCAGCCCCGCCCTCTTGTTCTGTCAGCTCTGCCCTCCGAAGCCACTAGAGGGCGCGCGCGAGAACGCGCGACCCCGAAGACTTAGTCTCCAAGGCTGCACACAAGTGCACGCGCAACGGCCTTTCCAGCGCGCCCCTGAGGACGGCTTCGGAGTGTACCAGGAACGCTGTCGAGCGTTCTCTCTGGGAGGTAGGAGTCGGAGCGCGCCACTATCCCTACATCCGCCCCTCTTTCGAGAATGATTGGATGCAATGAGGGAGGGAGCTGGGAACTGAGGAGCACCCTGACAATATACACACACAGGTGTGAACACTTAGACGTCTCACACACACCCTAAAAAGTAACATGTCGATAACGACATAACACAGACACCCGTACCCCAAGAATGATACACAATGTCACACTAACAGCTACATGCACCGAGTCACATCAAGATCCTGACACAGAAACATAATAAACTAAGGAAAATCGCAGAGGCATACTAAATGATATGCAAGTCCCCGCAGGCACAAAAACACACTTTTTGAAGCTGGACGCAAACGCAAAATACAAATGCATGGTTCCCAGACAACCTGTGCAAGCTTCTTGGTGGCTAAAGGAGGAAATACCCTGTCCAGACAGGATAGAAGGGTGTGACTTCCGGGTTCATGAATTTCCTAGTCCACGATCCTGGGTGCACTGGCCCGTTATTCTTACCTATGCTTCCTTCTTGTCATCGTTGACAAGCCTCAAGATATATTTCTAGGCCGGGCGCGGAGGCTCAAGCCTGTAATCCCAGCACTTTGGGAGGCCGAGGCGGGTGGATCACGAGGTCAAGAGATCGAGATCATCCTGGTCAACAAGGTGAAATCCCGTCTCTACTAAAAATATAAAAATTAGCTGTGCATGGTGGTGCACGCCTGTAGTTTCAGCTACTCGGGAGGATGAGGCAGGAAAATTGCTTGAACCCAGGAGGCGGAGGTTGCAGTGAGCCGAGATCGTGCCAGTGCACTCCAGTCGGGGTAACAACAGCGAGACTCCGTCTCAAAAAAAAGTCAGTCAACATAGCTAATAGAGTTGATAGTTATTAAGAAAGTAGCTGGGATCTAATTGCTCTGTGATGTTTTAAATTTTCCTATTATGTAGGAAAACAAACTCTCCCATTTAAATCTCAAAAGCCAAATAGCCAGTGAGAAGCTGCTACTTCTGATTTAACCACCCTGTCAAAGTTAAGCAAACTGAAATTGGTCCTGTTTTTGACAGGCACGGGCAAGGAGTGAAACTTGAAAAGCATTTTGTCCTAATCAAAGGTAGGATTGCTGCTGCTGTTTGTGTATACCCTTTTGGATCAGGTCCTTATAAGAAATTCCTCATAAATGTTGCAATATATGAAGCATGATATCATTGTTCATAGAAAGGTTATTAATCCTGTACCTAATACCAGGTGCTTTCAACCCAAGTATACAAATCCTGCTGAAGTCAGATGTTTATTGACTCGTCTATCACACTCAACAGACTACCCCTTCCTTAAAAGCATCTACTCTTTTCACTCATCTTTTTTCTTTTTGAGACAGAGTCTTGCTCTGTTGCCAGGCTGGAGTGCAGTGGTGCAACCTTGGCTTACTGCAACCTCTGCCTCCTGGGTTCAAACGATTCTCCTGCCTCAGCCTTCCGAGTAGCTGGGACCACAGGCGCATGCCACCACACCTGGCTAATTTTTGTATTTTTAGTAGAGACGGGGTTTCAACATGTTGGCCAGGATGGTCTCGATCTTTTGACCTCGTGATCCGCCTGCCTCGGCCTCCCAAAGTGCTGGAATCCCACTGGCTGGTGTGAGCCACTGCGCCTGGCCTCTTTTCACCAATTTTCATATCCCCTACCATATATTTGACTTTACAAAGTTCTTAAATGGTATGAAAATTACAACTTTCTAAGGCTATAATTGACAATTCAACGAGGCCAGGAGTGGTGGCCTACCAATGTTATCCCAGCACTTTGGGAAACCATGGTGGGTGGATTATTGGAGTCCAGGTTTGAGACTAGTATGGGCAATATGGCAAAACTTCTCTACAAAAAAAAAAAAAAAAAAAAAAAAAAAACAACCCACAAAAATTAGCTGGGTGTGATGCCATGCACCTGTAGTCCCCTTTACTCTAGAGGGTGAGATGGAGGGATCACCTGAGCCTGGCGGGGTGGAGGCTGCAGTGAGCCCTGATTGCACCACGGCACTTCAACCTGGGTGACAGAGTGAGACCCTGTCTCAAAAACAAAAAACAAGAAAACTTCAAAGTCAGGACAGGGCCGAAAACTCTAAGATAAATCCTTTAAAATTAATATAATTGGGCTGGGTGAGGTGGCTCACACCTATAATCCCAGCACTTTGGGAGGCCGAGGCAGATGGATCACCTGAGGTCGGGAGTTCAAGACCAACCTGGCCAACATGGTGAAACCCTGCCTCTACCAAAAAAAAATTAGCTGGGTGTGGTAGCAGGTGCCTGTAATCTCAGCTGCTCAGGAGGCTGAGGAAAATCGCTTGAACCTGGCAGGCGGAGGTTGCAGTGAGCCGACATAGTGCCATTGCACTCCAGCCTGGGAAACAAAAGTGAAACCCCATCTTGAAAAAAATAATTATCTTCAAAATTATGTTACTTCCTGGCTGTACTCAATCATTTTTTCAACTAACCTCCATAGGGAATTATTGTGACAAAAATTTTCTCGAGTTTTAGACTATCACTGAATTACTAGTGGTTTAACTGAGCTCCATCAGCAAGTTAGAACTGCTGGAGTGACAGAGAACCATTTCCATTTTTCCATTCACATTAAATTTCACAAAATGGTTGTTACCAAGCATCATCATTAGTTCCCATGTTGCACGTGAGAGGTGCAAAATAAAGGAAAAACAGATAAAACCACTTGGTCAGACAAAATGGCAAATTCCCATCATAGTTCTCTTCCAGTATCATTCCTTGCAATTTCTTACCATATCCCCAGTAAAATTACAAATTTTTTATGTTTAGCAAAAAGTAAAGGTAACAGCATCTATGGCTCTGGAAGCAGTTGTAATGATTTTTTTAAATGGTGACTATTTTTCCTTTAGTTTTAGCTTTGGAAAGAATAGCAAAATTAGCACCTGAGGCAACAGTAACCAAACCAGGCAGGATCTGGTTACCATGACCTACCACCAACACATCTTCAGTTAAAGTTCTCAAAGCTTGATCTGACATTACAATCACCTGGGAACTTGTTAATGCAAATTATTGGATGTGATGGCTGCGACATCTGTCACCCCACTGATTGCCAGGGTTGATTCAGCTTATCTGGCTGGCTAGGCAGCTGCCCCCTTCCTTCCTCACGACTCCAAGTGTACCCTTCCCGACGCTGCGTGGTGTGTCACAAAGGACAACCATTCCCAATAGAGGAGGACCAGTCTTCCATCAAGGCTATTTATGTAGCTGCACTCCAGTGAGAACCTCCAAACAAGCTCTCAAAAATGCAAACTGGTTGGGTGTGGTGGCTCATGTCGGTAATCCCAGCACTTTGGGAGGCTGAGGCAGGCAGATCACTAAGTCAAGAGATGGAGACCATCCTGGTCAAGATGGTGAAACCCTGACTCTACTAAAAATACAAAAACTATCTGGGCGCGGTGGTGAGCACCTGTAATCCCAGCTACCAGGGAGGCTGAGGCAGGAGAATTACTTGAACCTGGGAGGGAAAGGTTGCAGTGAGCTGGGATCACACCACTGCATTCCAGCCTGGTGACAAAGCGAGACATCTCCCCCCTCCCCCAAAAAAGCAAATTATCAGTACCCAACCCAAACTTAGTAAGTTTGAAAATCTGGCAGGGAGCCAGCAATGCTTTAACCTATATGTAAATTTAATTCAGGCAAATATTTGAAAACTGCTGGTTCTAAAGGAAAAAAATTCCAATTAACTGTTTGTGCACCAGTGTTGACTCTAAGAATCTTGACCTTATCGCTTAAGGGTCAAAGTGGGAGGGTGCTTCAAACCCAGCTAGCTCAACAATGAGGAGGGGATTCTTTGTCAGGGTATAAAACCTCTAACTCATTCAACACTGAATACCCAGGCTTTTGGCGACACTAAACTTTATCTCCGATGGAAGGCAATCAACAGACTTATCCAGAGCTGCTTCTGTCCTAGTGCAAGTTGTATTAAACAGCGTATATGCTGCTTTGCAGTGCTCCAGCAGACTTCTATTACATACCATACTTTTGTCACAATCTTTAGGCTGACAAAAGAATCCAGTCAATAAAGCTAAAGTAAAAAATGAAGTACACTCTTGTCCCTGTATAATCTTAATACCTGCCGCAACACTCAATAGTTCACCATTTCCTTTTCCAGTCCCCATCACCTTAAAAAAAAGGTGTAACCTGTCTTAGGGAATTCTAATAATGGCTATTTCTAAAAGTTGCTCAGAATGAATGATACCACTTAAAATCACTGGAGGGGCTGGGTGCCGTGGCTCATGCCTATAATCCCAGCACTTTGGCAGAACAGGCAGATCACTTGAGGCCAGGAGTTTGAGACTAGCCTGGTCAACATGATGAAACCCCGTCTCTACCAAAAAATAAAGAATAAAAAAATTAGCCAGACGTGGTGGCATGTGCCTGTAGTCCAAGGTTGAGGCTGAGGCAGAAGTGAGCAGAGATCACACCACTGCACACCAGCCTGAGCAAGCAAAGTTTTTTAAAAAAAGTCTCGAGGTATTAATGTGCACACATGGTTGGAAATTCATAATCCTAGGTATACCATTATTTCAAATAATCTTATTTTTAAGATACTCAAGGCAATACCAAAAGCTATCCAATTGAAGTCTTATAAAGGACACGCTCAGACCCCAAATTTACCAGCAATGGCTCAAGTATGAAGTATTGTAAAACAAACTCAAGGTATTTCTAAAAGTTTGATTTGCTTTTGTAGGATAATGTAAGGTTAAGCGAAGGGCTGAAATATCTGTAGGAAAAATGTTCTTAACAGCAAATTTAAGTAGAGGTTTGTCTTTCTGAGGAGAAATTCATGGGAAAAAAAAGGTTTGTCATAATCTGAGATATGGCTGTTACCGATTTATCATTAACAGCTTATTTATGATTTCTGACTTTTAAATGCTCTCATATGCAAACAATAAAGTAAACAAAGCATTCTTTCCTTCGACTTGCTAAATCCAGCAAAGAACCTATGAAAAAGCCATCAATGACAGGAAACACTGAATTCCATTGTGCACATAATGCTTTCTGTAGCTACTGTTAGTTAAAATTGGAATTAAACAGAAGTGGGTAAAATTAGTAAAGGCTAAAATTAAATTGCAGAAGTAAACTGGCAAGGATTTTTTGTGCATGTCACATTAAAATCATCACCTGCCTTTAAGTGGGAGAGACCGAGAGATTTATCCAACTATTTGAAATATAATACATTTGGGTCTGAATATTTGAAAGACAGACCATGCCTATCCGTTCTTGTCAATTTTTCAAAATTAAAACTTTGGTTTTTTGGCCAGGCACAGTGGCTCAGGCTTACAGTTCCAGAACTTTGGGAGGCTGAGGTGAGCAGATCACTAGGGCAACATGACAAAGCCCCGTCTATACAAAAAAGCAAAAATAGCCAGGCAAAAATGGCCTGAGCCTGTAGTCCCAGCTACTCGGGAGGCTGAGGTAGAAAATCACTAGAGCCTGAGACGCTGAGGCTGAGGCTGCAGTGAGTAGACTGTGCCACTGCACTCCAGTCTGGGTGACAGAGCAAGACCCTGTGTCAAGGAAGAAAAAACAAATTGTTTACAATATATAATCCAATATACCAAGAATCCCCATATAATTATTTTGAAAGGCTGGCACAACTAACTCTTGTTCATCCATATTATTTCCAATTGTACTGTTTAGGCACCAACATGTCTAAGCACAAGCTTTTGCTACTTGTTCACCTGTAGCATTTCTAATTCATAAGGTTTTTTAAAACTACAAATGGCCTCACTTTTAATTATGTAACAGGAACAAGAAATCCACCAGCACCAAAATTTTTAAAACTTAGATCTTTAGCGGCAGTCTTTAGAATACTCACTATAGATTTAAAAGTAATCAATTGTTAAAGCATGCACAAAGTTTAAGAATGAATAAAAACCACAACTGACAAATATGTTGGTTAACATTCCAAACATGTATAACCAATGAACATGGCCTAAGTTTTTTTTTATTGGTATTCACTTCAGTAACTTGAACCCACAGATATAAGCAGTATATAACCAGAAAGTTACAAGTAAACACAAATTATACATGCAAATTTCTGTTCACAAAGGTCACATGTGCAGGTACATGAATTAGAAGCGTGCATCTAGGATTATGGCCAAACTTTTTAAAATGCAGAACTGTAAAATTACATCTTGAAAATATGAAGAGATCGTCTACACACTTCAAAAATTAAATGTTGCTTATACCAGAGATGTATGACAATTATGGGATTCAAGTGACAAGCAATAAGATCTCAAAAATTAATACTGGTCAAAGAGAACGGGAATATTTTTACATTTCACTGAAAATACATTGACTACTAGAATACAAAATCTAGCAGGAACTCAGGGAAAAAAATTACAAAATCTAAAGCCAATTACTTAATATTTCTTATTACCTAAACAACAGCATGACATCAACAGAAAACTGCACCTGCATCTGAATTGCCAATCTCACATTGATGAAGTTCTCCAAAAATGAAATGCACCAAAACAGGTTCAAACTCCAAATGAAAAGTCTGCAAGGCTCAGATTAAAACATGGAATGTTTCAGATGAAAGTAATAAAAATACTATTGGTTTTGTTCTTTATTGAATGGAACAAAATGTTGACATTTCTTTGAAACTTGGAAATACTAAATTTCATTTTTCCAAATGGTTCTACATTTTCTTACTGGTGCAAGTTGTCTTAAGTATTAGCTTACAAAGTCAATCTCTACAAAGTACTTCAGTCTGTTGCCATTCTGATAAAACAAAAACTATTCATTAACTTAACTGTATGCATTTTTTTTTTTTTTGCTATAACACTTAACACATGAACAGACATCTATTATTTCTCCACTAAAACAAAAGAGTACAATAATTTTCTTCTAACTATCAGTATTGTATTTAAAAAAGGTTAACATTAAAAACAAAGAACCATTATTTTCTTTGAAATCATTTAATCTTCTTGCACATCTTAAGTTTCCTTCTTCTGCCTGCGTTCTTCTGCCAATTTATTCAGAAATTTCTAAAAAGAAAAAGAATTACAGCAATTAAGTCACCTAAGAGAAACATGGCAAAATAGATTACTTCCAAAATAAAATATCCTATACATCCAAGTTTAGGACTTGAACTATAATTTTGTCAATATTTTCAACAATTAATCCTTATTAGTATATAAAAACTGTTTCAGGACATTACATTAAGGCATGGGAAAAAGTGGTAAAAGATGAAAAATGGGCATTTGAAATGTTGTAATTAACTTTAATTTTTAGAGATGACAAAACAAACACTCCAGTCACAATGAACTGACACTATCCCCAAGAACAACTACCGGTTTAAATGACATGCATTTTTATTCAATACTTTTTTTTTTTTTTTTTGAGTCTCGTCTCATTCTTTGCCCAGGCTAGAGTACCATGGCGTGATCTCAGCTCACTGCAACCTCCACCTGCCAGGTTCAAGCAATTCCCTGTCTCAGCCTCCTGAGTAACTGTGATTACAGGCAACCACCACCATGCCCAGCTGATTTTTTTGTACTTTTGGTAAAGATGGGGTTTCACCATGTTGGCCACGCTGGTCTCAAACTCCTGACCTCAGGTGATCTGCCCACCTTGGCCTCCCAAAGTGCTGGGATTACAGGCATAAGCTACCACGCCCGGCCTCAATGCACTATTCATTAAATCAGCTGAACAAACGTTTTCTTGCAAGGCCATCAGTAAATATTTTAGACTCATTGAGCCCTTCAGTCTTTCTTGCAATGACTCAATCCAGCACTGAGTTACAAACTAAAATAAATACAGATGACACATAAATGATTATGGCTGCGGGTTCTAGTAAAACCTTACAAAAGCAGATAAATGAGCCACAAGTGTAGCTTGCTGAACCCTGCTTACCCCTGTGACTTCGAGAGTCTCTAGACATCGGAGCACCGTTAAAACACTAATGAAAGTACAAAAGACATTATTCAAAAATCTAATCTAAAATTTCCAAAGTTTCATTCCATCTCATTGGAATTTATCAACTTTATATAGTTAATGGAAAACAGTAAGAATTAAAAGCCATTATATCCTTTAAAGAAAATGAAAATCAAAACCCACAAACATCCAGTTAAGAAATTATCAGTTCTAGCCCAACGAGCATGATGAAATCCTGTCTCTACTAAAAATAGAATAATCAGATTACAGGTATGGTGGTGTGTGCCTGTAATCCCAGGTACTCAGGAGGCTGAGGCAGGAGAACTGCTTCAACCTGGGAGGCGGAGATTACAGTGAGCTGAGATCACACAACTGCACTCCAGCATGGGTGACTGAGCAAGACTCTTGTCTCCAAAAAAAAAAAAAGAAACTATCAATTTACCATCAGCAAGTTACTGTATTGCTTAATAGTAAAGTTTCTTTAAAATATAAAGAAGTAATAAAAAAAGCTACAAGCACCTGGCAATCTTTTATATTTTTTCCATATTCTTCTTGGCAATACACATAGTTTTTGACCCCAAACAGCTTAAAAACCAAGCAGATAAAAATATTTATACTACATTGGTGCTACCACTGCAAATAACTACCATTCTTTCTTCATATACAGATAATAAGAGACATACTAATGGCAAAAAGCTGTTACATTAAAAAAAAGAAGTAATACACAGCCAAGAACCTGAATCATTTCCAAAATTAAAAGATTACATTTAACCATTTAGTCAACAGAGAACATGTCTAATGATTGAATAACTATAGTTAACTTATTATAAGAGGTGTGATAACCCAAGATATCTACAATTGAGTTGTTTAGTAACTACTTTTTTTTTTTTTAAGATGGAGTTTCGCTCGTTACCCAGGCTGGAGTGCAATGGCATGATCTCGGCTCACCGCAACCTCCGCCTCCTGGGTTCAGGCAATTCTCCTGCCTCAGCCTCCTGAGTAGCTGGGTTTACAGGCATGAGCTACCATGCCCAGCTAATTTTTTGTATTTTTAGTAGAGACAGGGTTTCACCATGTTGACCAGGATGGTCTCGATCTCTTGACCTCGTGATCCACCCGCTCGGCCTCCAAAAGTGCTGGGATTACAGGCGTGAGCCACCGCACCCGGCCAATTTTTTTTTTTTTTTTTTTGAGATGGACTCTCACTTTATTGCCCAGGCTGGAGTGCAGTGGCACGATCTGTGCTCACTGCAACCTCTGCCATGTGGGTTCAAGCGATTCTCCTGCTTCAGCCTCCCAAGTATCTGAGATTAGTGGCAGCTGCCACCACGCCTAGCTCATTTTTTGAAATTTTAGTAGAGATAGGCTTTCACCATCTTGGCCAGGCTGGTCTTAAACTCCTGACTTCATGATCCACCCGCCTCAGCCTCCCAGAAGTGCTGGGATTACAGGTATAAGTCACTGCACCGGACCAGGAATTATTCTTTAGTGATGTTGTGGTTTATATATTTACACTTTTGATCTTTATATACTTTTGGTCATAAAAATAACTGAAGCGTCACTATTAATAATGTCAATGTTAAAAATGATTTAATGTAAATAGACATGCCACTTTTAGTATTCAGACTCCGAGCAACTTCCAAATTAGAAAGTATAGCCCAACAACAATTTAAGAATATCTGAATAATTCTATCACATAATTTATCATATGGTTAAAAAACACTAAATTGTTACATAATAAGGGTAAACTGTGACAGAAGCTCAATAGATATTTTGATAATCCATCAATAAGGAAACAAGGACAGGCACAGTGGCTCACATATATAGTACCAGCACTTTGGGAGGTCGACGCAGGTGGATCTCAAGGTCAAGAGATCGAGACCATCCTGGCCAACATGGTGAAATCCCATTAAAACTACAAAAATTAGCCAGGCATGGTGACGCATGCCTGTAGTCCAAGCTACTCTGGAGGCTGAGCCAGGAGAATCACTTGAATCCAGGAGGCACAGGTTGCAGTGAGCTGCGATCGTGCCATTGCACTTCAGCTTGGGGTCAGAGTGAGATTCTGGAGGAAAGGAAAGCGGAGAGTAGAGGGAAGAGAGGAGAGGAAAGGAAGGGAAAGGGAAAGGCAAAGAAGCCAGGCATGGTAGCTCATGCCTATATTCCCAGCACTTTGGTAGCCAAGACGGCAAATCACCTGAGGTCAGTTCAAGACCAGCCTGACCAACATGGAGAAACCCCGTCGCTAATAAAAATACAAAATTAGCTGGGTATGGTGGCACATGCCTGTAATCCCAGCTACACGGGAGGCTGAGGCAGGAGAACTGCTTGAATCTGGGAGGTTGAGGTTGCAGTGAGCCGAGATTGTGCCATCACACTCCAGCCTGGTCAACAAGAACAAAACTCTGTCTCAAAAAAAAGGAAGGGAGAGGAGGGGAGGCTGAAGCGGGCGGATTACCTGATGTCAGGAGTTCAAGACTAGTCTGGCCAACATGGTGAAACCCCAACTCTACTAAAAATACAAAAATTAGCTGGGTGTGCTGGTGCATGCCTATAATTTCAGCTACTCAGGAGGCTGAGGCAGGAGAATCTTTTGAACCTGGGAGGCAGAGTCTGCAATGATCAGAGATTGATCCATTATACTCCAACCGGGGTGACAACAGTAAAACTCCATCTCAAAAATATATAAATAAATAAGAGATAAATAGATAAAATGAAAGAAAGAAAAGTTATCTTTAGGATACAGCACTGCACTGAGTCTAGAGAGAACACTATACACATTTTACTTATATATCCCATTTATTTCCATAAGTTGTTTTCACCAAAGATTCTCCTCTTTTACATTCAGGCTTACCTTTAATTTCTGATAATGAGGAAGGCTGCTGCAGTGAGTATTCTTTGCAACTTCTTCATTTGTATAAAAGAGTGAACACAGCTTACAGTAAAACCCTGTTTTAGGTATCACATAGTCTATACCTAGAAACACAAACATACATTCTTACAAATTAAACTGAAGATTTTATTTAGTATTCACAATTTTTTACCTATCAACATAATTTAAGTGAGACATGTTTGTGAAAAGCCCAATACACCCTAAGATAAAAATCAGAAACAAAACCAGAACCATATTTTGCTATTACCTAAATTGATGTTTGAGGTCCCACCTAACTGTATTCTTAAAAAGAAATATAATACAGAAAAACAAAAGAAAAAGCATGTGCAATTTGCAGGACATTTTATGAGGACAAAAGGGAACATATTGTGGAATGACAACATAAAACAATACCATATCAGAGAGATGCATAAGAGGAAAAGTTAATGTATCAATTAAGATTTACAAATTGTTTCCCATAGAAACAAAGCAAATCTAAAATGCTATCACAGCTTATGTAAGACCAAATTTAAAATCTTATTTTAAAACCTAAGAGTTTGTTTTGGGGAGAGTGAGGAAGGCGAAGAACAAAAGACTTCAATCTCACCAACAGGAACGTTGGGCTGATACGGTCCAATTCTATACTCATCTGGGATTGTATAGTCCTCCTTGTTCTCATCACTTTGACCATCTGCATTTTCACTTGTAT